CACAGCGTTTATTCTCTCCTCCCCCCCTTTTTTTTTTATTATTTTGGTTTTTTTGTTTTCCGTCGTACCTGTCTATATGTAACCGTCTCCCTTGGGCGACGAGGAGGGAATGGGTCAAAATCCTTTTTTACAGAGTGTTTTGGGTTTTTTTTGCTTGCTGGGAATAGGGCTTTCTCAAAGGGAGGTAGTTTCTAGAGGAAAGTTATACGAAGAAGTTTATAAAAGGGGAAAAAACCCCTTTTTAAAAAATTTTATTTTTAATTGAAAGGGTGATTGATTTATCCTAGTTTGCCTGTAAGTGCCTCTAGGCTTTTAAACCCTTTGCTGCCAAGGAGGGGGCCACTTGGACTGGCTGGCTGTTGCCGCTCCGGGGGAGACTGAGTGGATGGACCAGGGGATGGAGATGTTTTGGGGCCCTTGGCCCAGAGCAGCGGCTGCTTCCTGGGAAAACGTGGGATGATCTTGATAAAAACGTGCAGGTAGGAACCTGCACCGTGCGCTCGTGATGTAGCAGTGCAGACCCATACGGCGCTGCGGGTACTGAGGCTCTCGCCAACTCCCACATTTCCTCGGGCTGCAGCAAAATGGCTCTTGGCGAACTCAAAGGCCACTTTTTTTCTCAGGGGTCTTTGGAGAAGCAATAAACAGTTACAGATGTAGAAGTAAAGAAAAAGAGCAAAAACAGCACAAAGCACCAAGTATTCCCCCTACATCATCCCTGACTAGGAAATTCGCCTAGCAAAATTGCGAAAAAATTTAGGTGCAGGAGACCTTTGTTTTACTGCTCATTTTAGTCTTTCATTTTTGGGAGGAAAAAAAAAAGAAAAGAAAAAACCCACAAGAAACACAAAACTCACAGGGAAAAGAGTGCTTAAAATTCTGGCTATTCTTTTCTGGTTTGTTCACCACATGCAGACTGCTCCAATACTGCCTTAAGCAAAAAAGGCAAAAGCAACAGCCGTTCAGGACAGAAGCGTCCAGCTGAGCTGCTCCCTAGCACCAAAACGAGCAAGAGCGGTGCCAACATGCCTCTGCCGACACTGGTAAGTGGCTGAAGACGTGGCACATTAGGCCAAAACATTAGGAAGCCGCGGGTGCACCCAGAGTTGGGGTGCAGATGTTGGGGTGCTTCCCCAGTAAGCCAGTACTTCCGAGCTGGTTATTTTCTGCTTTTAGACGATGTGCAGCCCGGAAAGGGTTCACGCTTGTTCTAAAGGACAAACTTCATGAGTTTCGTGAGTTTTGCTGGGCTTTTCTGGGTGCTGGGTAAGTGGTCACCCTCTCTAGGCAGTCAGCACTGGTTTGCCTGGGGTTTTCCTATGGGGCAACCCCAGTTCCCTTTACCAGCGCAGTGAGCACGTTGCTGTTTCTATGCTTGTTTTCGCAATTCTTCCCCTTCTCAGAAAGTGTGGAGTTTCACTAGTGATTGCAAAGCCAAGTACTGTGCCGGCCTAAGGCAGCAACGAGCAGGAGCGCAGCAAATATGGAGCAAACACCCTTCTACTCACGTTGCACAAGTGGTGCAATGAGAGATCAATCTTCGCCTTTCTCCACTCCTCAGAAATTGGAGAGAACTGGTTCTTTCCACCTGCAACAACTGCCTTTGCCTGTTTTTTATTCCCCCCTGCCTCCATAAAGACCTTTGCTTTCCAGGGTGCACAGGTACTGTGCCTGCTTGCAGACACCCCGGCACTGGTTTCAGCACGACTCATTTGTTCTCCAGGCGCTGACTTGCCCACAGTGTCCACCTACCTTCCCTCTACCCATCGCTTTCAGAGACTTCCTGGGACTCCACGCAGGACCTATCCTTGGGATGCCGCTCTTGTAGCACCTGCCACCATAGGCTTCAGACTGAGCCACTGCACACTTGGTGTAGCACTTTCTGTTTCTGGACAACCTGCTAGCTTAACTGTAGAGGAGGAAGGGGAGTAGGACCTGGTGCCTCCCAAATTAGGGGTGGGGGGGCTCAGAGCATGGAGGCTCCCCCCAAGGATGAGTATCCTCCTCAAATACATATATGTATTTGTGATATGTATATTTATTGTTGTTATAAAGCTTGTCACAGTGAGAGGATTGTGATCATAGACAAACCAGAGAAAAGTTAGGCAAAGAGGAGACAATTTCAGCGTAAACAACTGAGCTGCAAAGATCTGAACTAGGTAAGAAAGCAAGCCTGCTGATAGAGGAAGGCACAGCTAGGGACAGTGCTTCTCCCCTTGCCTGCTTCTGATCCTCAGCTGAATGCACACGATCCCTTCTCTGGTTTGAAATCAGAGCACGTTTTGTGGTTGTTAAGTTGCACCTATGATATTGAGAAACAGCTTCCACAGCTGCCTTACTCCAGAATTTCACAGCCCTGGGAGAGCAGTTCTGCAGGATGGCACACATAATGGCTAATGTGTCGTCCGAGGTTGCGCCCTTAGACAGAATATAGCAAATACGGTATTTTCTGTATAACTGCTGCCTGAATTCTATTATATAACAATGATCAGGGAATAGAAAGCAGGTGCATATGTTTAAAACTGTAAAAAAAAAAAAAAACAAAAACTCTGCTTGCTACAGATTTCACAGTATTCTGCCCTTGAAACACTGCAACTTGGCGAGCTTGTTATTTCAGTCGGCTTTGGCCCCTATCCAATACCTTAAAAAAAAGTCATAGCTAACGTGCAGCATGATGGGACATAGTCCTTGGCCAGGGACATTCAGGCAGTTAATTTAACTGTCACAGCAGCATCTTGTAATGGTTCAGTTTTAGACCCTGGCTCACCACGAGCAACTAGACACCACTCACAGCGAAGGCCATTTCAGGGCTTTGAAGAAGCTCCTGTGTCGGGAGGACTAACAGCCAGTAACTGTTGCAACACGGTTGGCAGAACTGAGTGAAGCCCTGTTTACTTATCTGTGAAAATCCTAGGGATCTGTTAATGGAAGAATTATTTCTGGAAAATATTCTTAAAGACATTGGTAAGAAAAAAAAGCAATTTAACAAGGGAAGCCGCCTGAGGAGGAATATGATGAAATTAACCGTGAGCTTAATTTAGATTGCACGATGTGGCAATATGCTAACCAGGGGGTGATAGTGTCAAAAGCAGGGCAACTGTGACCTTGCAATACACTCTGTGTGTGTTGGAGCAAATACCGTTCTCTTTCATGAGGCTGTCCAGCAATTTGGTCCATATTCCAAGCACTAGTATTATTCCAGGCATCGTGTTGCAGCCTGGACTCCATGACATCTTTTCAGCGGGTGTTCCACTCTTCATTGCCTTTATTAATTCAGGATCTTAGAGCACAGAATGAAACAGTTGCATGGATGGATTTGATGGATGTTAACAATGGAAATTTTATACTTTCCCCTTCCCCACCCAAATCAAGGTACAGAACTTCTTGCTGCAGAAAGTTGTGGAAGCTCAAATGTATATAATACACTGTTAGAGACTGCCGCCTCAATTCTGCCAGACTTGAGGTATTTCTTCCTCCCACTCCTATTGTTTCCCCAATACCGCCTTGAAATTCAGGCTGTCAATTAGTTGCAGGCATTTCTTGTAGTCGAGATTGTTCCCTGGCTTCCTGCCTCCAAACATTTACATTCCATGAGCGCCAAGCACTCTCCAAACAATACATAAAAGATGATGGCTTCTAAGTCCCTCATTAATGATAACATATTTCAGTCCCTCAGAAATGACATTTACATCTTTTTAGTTTACATACATAAAACATGATTTGTTTCCAAAGAGTCTTTCTTATTTTATATCTTTTTTTTTAGGCAAGATACTTTGGAATACACCAAATTAATAAAAACAAACAAACTGCATTGTAAAAGTGAGGATGTTAAAGGAAGCTTTGTTAGCTTCCCATCCCACCTGCTTTGTGTTTGCTTGCTTGCTTGCTTCTGTTTTTTGTTTTTAAATTTATTTTGGGACCAAAAATCCATCTACTCCAAAAGTAGGCCCTGCTCTGTCTGTAAGGCAACAAACAGCAAATGAGCTCCAGGGAGCCGCCTCCTTCATAGGCATCGGCAGAGGCGCAGAGCAGAGCTCTTCCGCACCTTGTTAAGGTGCAAGAGCACTCTTCTCAGCACGAAATGTTGGACTCGATCTCCAGAATCTGGCAAAAACACTCCAAATACAACCTCAAAGCTCACTGTGGGGCCGAAGTTACAGCGCTGTGAGTGCGGCGAGCAGTGTCAGCTCGTTAGAGCTGAAGGAGCAAAGCTCCCCGGGGAGGTTTTCTAGCGTGCGCAGCACGGACCATCAGCAGTGTAACCGCCTCCATTCTGTTCTCTCAACATGTCCGATCCTGGGCTGGCATTGCAGAGCTACCTCCCATTTCCATATCCAGCTGCCAGAAGATGGGAAGTGCCAGGCAGCTCCGATGTGCACAGGGATTGCTGATACTCCTAGGTGGTTACTCCTCTCAGAAAGGTCAAACACCTTTCTGAGAAAACATTCTGGCAAATTACCAAGCTTAGTGGGCAAAAAAGAGAGGCACTTGGGAGCTGTCCTCTAAACTCTTGGGTTACGTGGATGTTCTCAAGGGGATTCTCTTGGGGAAGTCCGGAAAGCTTGAGAGAAGCTGAAAGGGAAACAAAAAACACAAGGATTGTGTCTTTGCTCAAAGGAGGAGTTTTAAAACCACAATTTTTTTTTTTTAAATAAGCTGTAGAGCTTAGCCACAAACTAAAAGTAATACAGCTCTGCAGAGCAAGATCTTCTGGCATGCAGGGCCAACCCTGAGCGCACCTGCTTCTTCGCTTCCATTTCAGCTGATCCACAAAGTTGTATCAATACCTGGCTCCATGACCGGCCACGTCAGTTGGGAAGTGAGCGGCGGGGGACAGGAGAACAGCATGCGCCAAGGGAGCAGGACCACCCCAGTCACCTCCTCAGCTTCGAGCAGCATAGCAGAAACATGATCCTGCTCCTGCAAGTCGCAGCAAGTTTCCCAGAAAGGGACCAAACCACTTTTTTTTTCCTTCTTTTCTTTTTTAAACTAAATGCTTTAATAGAAAATAAAACACAAAATAACTCCTTCCAGAAAGCAGAAATATTTAATCTCTCCAAGTGACAAATCAGAACGTGCTTTCTACTCTGATCCAGGTTTTATATGCTGATGATTTATTTCACAAAGTGTCCATGAAACTCATATTGCAACATTCTGAGAAAAAAAAATCCAACACTGGCAAAGCTGCCTCTGTGCTCTGTGTACGCACAATAATTTAGTAATACTACTTTTTCCCATGTCACTTCGTGCCTCTCGCTCCCTGTCTCCCTCCCCAGCTGCCAATTCCCATTTATGGAAATATCCCTGCGATACGATGTGGTGGACCGACATGCCCTGTTCCCACTAGGAGTCCACATGTAGCCTGTTCACTTCCACCAGGTCTTCCTTTGGCCAAGGCAAGTTGATGATTGGCCTTTAAGCTACCATTCCACCTCCTACTCAAGACATCCTCTCCTCTGCAAAACACAGTGCAAACAGATTGAGAGAGTTCCCTAATTTCTGGACCATAAATACAAGTATCACAGCTAGTACCAAGAACTGAACCAAAGCAGAGATGAGTCCCAAGTGAGGTCGGATTCCCATTTTCCTTACTAAAAAGAAAGACTGTATTTTTTTTATTTAAGTAGTCCAAAACATTGCAGAAGTGCTATAGGGAGCTGTAATTCTTCGGATCACTATTCGCTGTAGAAAATACATAATTTTCTCTTAATATAAGGGTCTTAAAACACTGGTCCTCTGTAATACCAAGAAAAACAGAAGAAAACAAACACTGGGCCAGTAGTTGTACACACGCTCAAGCCTCAGTTAGCAGTAGGCAGGATGCGCCCATCAATCAATGCAGGATATTTAAGTGCAGGTCATCAACTTATCTCAATGGCAGTTTCACTTGTCTGGACCAGACTTTTGGTTTTCCCAAACTACTGGTCAGCAGAATTTCCTCTCCTTTTCTCCATCCCTACCAGTACAAGGTTAGAACATATATATGTATTTTTCTCACTCCATTCCACAGCATGGGCCATTTTGTGGGCAAGACATTTTAAAGCATTTATGTTACTCTGAACGTGTCTTTCACTGGGACAGAGGAAGAAGAGTGTTTCACAGTCAGTAATTTAATTTCAGCTTGTAATGGACTCTGGCATTCAATACACCCACCCACATCCCAAAGGAAAAAAAAAATTAATGTTCCTGATTTTCTTGTGCAATTCCAGTCACTAGAAGAAGATTACAGGCCATAAATTGTACGCTCAGTACATTATTCATCTGCCCGGTGTACACACCGACCAGTTCACTGGAAGACCCATCTGCAGGGGCGTTGCAGTAACTGTTCCGAATGTCCCAGACCCGGACAGAATTATCCATAGAGGCTGAAGCAATCAAACTACTGTCGGGGCTAAAAGTAAGGCTGGTTATGTTGTCCGTGTGCCCCCTCAGTTCCTTGTAGAGGGTTCCCGAAGCCAAGTCCCACAGCTTCAGCCGCTGGTCTTCCCCCGCCGACGCCAGGTACTTCCCGTTGGGGGAGAAGGCGAGTGCGAGCACGGGCCCGCGGTGACCCGTGAAGAGACGCACCGAGTGGCCCTGCTGGGTGCTCCACAGGCGCACAGTTTTGTCCGTGGAGCCTGTCGCCAAGTAGTTGGAGTTGGGGTGGAACTTGACGCAGTCCACGTCCGCCAAGTGGCCCGCGTATATGCGCAGCGGGTACGTCCGATCGAACGACCAGAGCCTCGCGGTGCGGTCATGGGAGCCGCTGGCAAAGTACAGGCTGCACGGACTGATGTCCAGGTCCCAGACGGGGTAGGCATGGCCTTGGTACAACACAGTGTTTGTAAAACTTCCGAGGTCCCAGTACCTGATGGACATGTCCTCCGAGCAGGATAAGAGCCCTGAGCTGTCTGAAAGGAACCTGGTGCTGTACACAGGTCCACAGTGGCCTCTCAGGATCTTCATTTCGGTGCCTACGCTGTCATCCTCTTCCTCCTGGCCGGGGTGGGTGGGGAGAGCAAAGAGAGAAAAAAAAGAGATGAGAAAAGCGTGTTTAATCTCTCGTTTACCTCTTCAGCAAATACAGGGAACGCCACGAGGAGAACGGACAGTGCATTAGCACAGAAGGAATTATTCTAGAGATGGCACATTCGGTGCAACACGGGCACAGAGATTTGCTAGTGCATTTGTACATCTGGGACGATGCTGAAAGAGACGTGGGGACAAGACCTTTACAAAGGCTTGATCTTTGTTTTGTGTAGCCTCGTGCCTGCTCCAGGATACACCTCGATCAGATACTCCATGCAAATATGAAGAAAGGAATATTTTATGATATTTTTCCAAATATCTTTTGCTTCAAAACACTTGCTAAATACATCTGCTTATTCCCAGTCCACTCTCTACTACGCTTTTGGCAGAGATGTTGAGAGTGATTTTGGCATCTGCTCTTTTGGTGTGATCGTTATTGGAAATGAATCTCACAGCAGAGAAAAGGCAGCCCAGATGTCTTTAAGCAAAAGGCAGGAGGTGCGGAGCTGTTTGCTGGACATTCTTAGTCCCACACGTGCAAAGAGACTTAGTGAGGCTGCAATATCTTTCTCTCCATACAAACTCCACCAGGAGTTTTAAGAGCTTTTTCACATCTCCACCCTTCAGAAGAACTTATGAAGCTTATTTAGGTCAAACGATCTATTTTGAGGAAGGAGAAGATGAATAATCACAAAAAAGGATGGCATTGGAAACCTTATTTTTTCCCTGTAATTCTCCAATTCAAACAACAGAACACACAAACATGAAAGCCTTAAAACATTGGTTACGGCAGCGAGCTGTGCCAAAGGGATTTGGGAGCTTTACCCCCTTTCTCAGGGGACAGATCTGCAGCAGGTCTCAGCCCCAAGGAGCGTCCTTGCCCGGCAGGCCGAGGCCTCACGGCGGGAGCACGCGAGGCCTGGGCAGCGTCCGCATGGCAGCTGGAGGCGACCAGGG